TTTCTACCGCCACCAAGGAGGTTATGTATTCACCGATGTCACTGTCTGGGTGTCTATTCCAGTTTGTTTTTATATCTAGTATCTTTGTTGAGAATTGATAATAAAATACGCGACGACTTGGTAACGAAAGTTTGGAACAAGGGTTTTTTGATCCAGCTGTAGGGGGCGTCCCATTTTACGTATTCCCACCATGCATTTCGGTGGAACACTTTTTTGTGTGGAGAACTCTATCTTGTATTTCTAGTGTCTTTGATATACCCAATGACTGGGTTGAAATTACCCAAGATTCAGCAAAAATTGCCAAAAATTACCCAAGCTTCCTGAAAATGCATTAGAATTTAAAAAATACGTGTTTTTCGCATGTATAGTTTCCCTTTTAGTTCAATTAATAAACCAATTTTTTATTGTAATTGTTTGTGTTAATTATTAAAATTAATATTCATGAGGTGATAATACGGATAGAAAAAAACGCCCTCATTCGGCCAGTGTTATCAGTAGATCAGTGATCAAGTTTATTATGTAATGCATTAATTAGGTAAGATCAATGGCAACGCAAGTCACAAATAAACAATTCTGAACCCATGTTTATAGCAATTAACAGTCAATTAACAATGTTATGTGCACTTCGTTGAGTTTTGCTTACTTGAATGGACTAAAATATACTTTGTTACTTCTTAATTCTTCCTCTATGACAAAAATATTTATTTTTTTTAGTAAAAATAAAATACCCAAGGATTTGAACGGAATACCCAAGAACCCAAGACCAAGTCAAAATACCCAAAATCTTGGGTAAATACCCAAGCAGTGGTCACGCTGGTTCTCTCACCTGGACGCAGGGTTCCCGGAAGCGATTTTTCTTCCGTACGAAACATTTGCATAAAACTTCACTCGGGCCATCTCGGATGGACTCGACTCGAGTTCGATACGAGGAACAAGAGCAGACACTTCGCAATGTCGTGACGCTCGAGTTTTACTTTTATTGCTCTTTCTATGTTTACCTACGGTAGGCCTATGAAATCTTACGGATTTATGGGATGTACGTGTGTAACAAACTGTCACCTTCTTGTATGTTATTAAATGGTAGTATAATATCTACAACAACAACAGCTAGTACCCCCTTTATAAAGTGTAGATAGGACGTTCACCAAAGGCTGACAGAAAGAAGTAAACTACAGGCCTAAAGCAGGCTGAGTTAAGTCCTACCTAATATAGGCCCTCCCTAAACTAGGCCTAGGTCCCTAGGCTAGGGTCCTAGGCTGACACCAACAGTCACGCTTCACATGACGTTGATTGAAATTTTGGAAAAAAAAGGGGGAAAATTGAAGCATGAAATAAAAAATAGAGTGCTAATACCGTAATAAATAAAATATACCATTCCGGCGTTAATGAACTTGGCCAAACTATCCTTGTAATGTAATTAATGTTAAATAATAACAATAATAATAATAATAATGATAATAATAATAATAATAATAATAATAATAATAATAATAATAATAATAATAATAATGATAATAATAATAATCATTTCAGCATTATTACCTTGGCCTAAGCCATGTATCAATAACCTATTTACTAGGCCTATAATTAATAACTAGCCCAAGGGAATATCTTTTGTGCTATTTCCCCACTATGTTTTTTTTTTAATGTTCTCTAATTTCTCCATTGTCCCCGTCCCCTTAATAGGAGTTGGCCGCAGTGTTAAACGCATTCATACTTTTCATGGAAAAGTATCCCCTTAATCGCAGTTTAATAATAAATAGTACAGTAGGCCTACATACATTGTACATATATTTCGAAAAAACTAAATAAATTGAAAACAAGCTTGATTTATGCAGTACGGTAGTTTAGGTGATTTAATGCCAGTTAATACACTCTATGATACAGATTGTATATAGTGGCCTTATTTATTGTTTTATAGTACAAATTCCCAAAATTTACCGCATTCATTTTGAAATGAAGCCCCCCCCCCCTCTTTACTTAAGCCTATCTCGAAAATAAGCCCATCTCGATAAGAGCCCCATCCAAAGAGCCCCTATCGTCAGAGCCCTAAAGGCGGGCCTAAAAGGGCTCTTGCCCTGCACAGGGGCCTCCGGCCTCTTCGTTACGCCACTGATACGCCTGGAATTAACCTCTGAGGCGTTTTGGTCTATGATTTCTTTTTCCTTCTTCCCCCTAAATGCGCCTCTGCTGTCGGTGTCAGTATTCGAGAGCGTATTCTTATACCTGAGGAAATAGCAACCGAACCGAACATTTGAGAGGAGGAGGGGGGGGGGGGCTCAACCTTGAGCGGCGTCGATAAAGCGCCCTCTTTACGGCTTGACACCATAAAATTAGTTCGTTTCAATACATAAAGCATTTCTGTAACAATTATCACTTTGGTCTGTATTGATAGTTGAAAGTTATTTTAATTCATGGTGAGCTTGCATTAAGAAGTACAGTATTGTTACTACAGTAGTTCCATTCTGTTTTTTCTTGCTGGGTCTGTAGGCCTATGGCTTCATGTTGTATGACTTTGTGCCAAAAACCATATTAAGGGGAAAAATTAAATTTATCAGTCGATTTCAATACCAGCAAATACAATAAAAGTCAGTGAAACATTCATATAAACATGACATAAGCTCGTTTAGTTTGTGAATTAAAGGGCTCTTCAAACCATAAATAATTCGACAACAACGAGTCCTGTTTATATGAATCATTTGCTGGTATATCACTATGTTTATCGTATGGCTGGTACAAAAATCAAGTTTTATGTGTCTAGCCTGCCTAATACCGTACCGTATTATAGTCCCTGTTTCGGTGTGGAAAATAAGAGTTTCTACATTCGGTCATACACTCGAGATTACTTATGATATACAAATAAATTAATAAACATTTCGTCGGAGGCAAGAAAGTGTCGGGGCCCCATGCATTAGGCGAGACTTTTTTTTTAACCGTGTTTCGCGAACTTATTTTTGTTAAAGATCGTCACAAGAGGGCGGAAAAAATAAAAATAAAATTTTGTTTTCTCATTTAGCAAAATGAGTTTTCCAAAGCCATCTATACGAAGGAGAAAATAAAATTGTATTAATGAAATAAACAGTGTAGTAATGAGATTGATAAATGCTTTAAATTTATGTAAATAAGAAAGAAAATATTTTTGGAGATTTCAGTAGAGCGGAGGGCTTAATAAAAGTAAATTTTATTTTTTTTAATGAAATTTCCATTTATTCGTGGCGGAGGGTGCGCTAACTGGCCAAAAATATTTTATTTTTAATCGAAATCACCGTTTGGTGGTGGTCGGAGGGTGCGCTATTCAAGTTATAAAAAAGTCTCGCCTTATGCAATAGTCGTTTACGAGGGGCGTTTCACAGTAGAATATCAAACAATACTATAGTGTGTTATATTACTATAATTGTCAAATCGAATTCTCTGTGATTGCTTTACTTTATTATTTCGGTTATATATTTAAATGTTACTTTGTAGTGTAGCCCGGCTGTGAAACTTTGGGTCGGAAATGATATATTGCATAAAAGCAGTGTTGCCATGTGCACCCGATTCTACCTAATATATCTGGTAGGTATCAGTTTCGGTGACATTGTGAGTTAAAACGTTGTACAGTATTACATTGTCTTAATTTTCTAGTTATCCCCCATATCCAGTTTCCATTTATGAATTGATATATTATCGTTTAGTCAAGCACGACATTGTTTTAAATAATCATATACTTATGATATCATATAAAATTCCGCGTTGAAGTCTGGAACTCAAAATTAAAATTAGACAAAGTAAAATATGCAACAGTACGGTAATGTAATTGAAAACGAATTCCATTTTCTTCTACAACGTCCAGCATTTTATATTTAAATTATTCCACCATTAGGCCTTTTTGTTGTAGTAGTAGTAGATAATGATGATAATGATGATGATAATAATAATAATAATAATAATAATAATAATAATAATAATAATAATACTTTAATAATATTTAGAATAATAATAATTATAATAATAATAATGATAATAATAATAATTAATAATAATAATAATCATAATCATCATCATCATAATCATTATATTCAAATACAAAAAGAATTCAGTTTATCATAGTATGGCATGGATTTCTCTACACATTCCTGTACTGTTTTTGGCAGGTCTTTGAGTGCTGGAGGTGGTTTAGAGAGAGATTTCTTAAAACCTCCGGCCGTTAAACTATTCGAAAACCAATTATATATTGGCTCAAGATCCCATATTGCCTGTGCCATATTCCACTCCACTTTGGGTTTACAGTCCCAACTTAGGAGTTTATCACTGTATGGCAAGCCAACAGCTTCGCAATACTTCATCAAAACCTCTTTAGGATTTTCAACTAAATCATCTGCATTTACAACAATAGGTTTTTGCCCCTCTATTTTCTCGATATGATCATACAGATCCGAAAGTTCTTTATATGCGAGGCCTTCGGGGAGCCAACTTGTAAAACAGGAGTCAACATCGTCAGTACCTGTACTTTCCATTAATTTAATATAAGATGAAAATGACTTTGCTGGATGACGTATTAGAAAAGTGTGTTTAAAACCTTTTGCAATTTTTTCATATCGTCTATCTACAGCATAGGCCAGGTCTTTTACGAAGACGACTTTTTTGGTTAGTGCGTCATCTTCGAGCATCAGTTTAACCTTATCGAATGTATACTCCATTTCCGTCGGTTGTGTACCCTGCGGAACGAGACGTCCTTCTGGTCCAAAGTGTTCGGCAGAAGCATAAGGTTCGTAGAAGATAGCTACATTTGGAACGCTCTCCATACCTCTTGCGAAGGCAGTTGAAACAGATCTTGGAATTGTCCAGAGGAATACATGAGCAGGTTTTGAGGATCGGGACGTCATGGCACTGTATGTTTAAAGGAAAATAACAAACTCTCACTAAAATGTTCATTTCGCCATACAGTAATTATGTTCTTTCCTGTTAAGTATAATGCATTAAGCCGGGAACTCACTACGACGGTCGTACGATCGTCAGCGGACGAATTCAACTCCGCTCCGTGTGAGAGCTAGACGACGCGACGCCGTCTGCTGGATCACTTAGCAGATTGTCGGTGACAGTCTGAACGGATCATCATTTAAAAACAATTCGTTGCGGTGTTGCGTTTTTCATAGTATCGCGTCGGCCGACCACCGTTAAGCGCAGAGAGTACCCGGCTTTTTAGGGAGTAAATAGTACTACAGTATCCCTCTACTGGTAATTAGACGCTTAAATAGGATTTGTTATATGAAATATCCATTTTTTTATATTTTTTGTAACTCTAAGCTAATACTAATCTACCGTACTAAATTGTATACAGTACTAGGCATTTAGCCTTCGGCTTCTATTCGATAAGTACTTTGCTTAACCTCGACTGTCCTATATTCCATAACATGCGAATAAGATCGTATGCCGTGAAGTAATCTATAAGAATAATTTTACTAGAACATGGGCAACGGCATGCGCTAAGAGCTTCTAAAAAGGTCAAAATTGCTAATAAAAGACATGGGTACCCTGATTATAATCCAAGCTATCCCTAATTAATTACCAGTTTGCTCACGTATATCTTGGCTTGGTTACCGGACTCTGTTGGAATCGTTCGTAATGGCTGCACACTTCTTTTGCAGACTGTGTAACACACGAAGCGTGACTGTGAAGTGAAGCGTGAAACGCTTCGATTGATTATGCAGACAAATCATAGTTTATAGCCAGTTATAAAATAATAATACAAAAAAAGTAATTTTTATTCAAAATCTTCCAAGCATGATCAGCCACTACGTTTTTTCGTGTTAAATTAAATAAAGTAATGTAGGAATTTATAACTTTTAAATTAATATGGTAACTGTATTTAATTTTGTTTATAAAAACTTTATACAAATTAAAAATACATTTTAATTTAAAAGTGAAATAGTCATAAAGCAGCTTCACTGCTGAACTCTTTAAACTACTTTCTGTGAATTATAATTGACGTTATTTACTTCTTACTTACTTTTATAGGCATCTCTGAGCTTTAGGCAAAACTAAAACTACCGATATCAAGAATACTGTAATTATTAATACATTGAATGTAATAACAGTAGTTTTACTGTACCTAACAACACATAGATCCTGTACAAACTTAATATAATGATTTTAATGAGGGTGCCTGGGGTGTAGGTGGTCTCCCCATTCTTTGCCACACCTTAGATAGGCCACACCCATTTGGAAGTCTGCAGTATGCATCGTGGCACAGTAAGTCTATGAGAAGGTAGCATATGAAAAAACTGGCCAGGGTTCGAACATTTGGTAGGAGAGCCGGGTAGATCTATTTCCCTCCCTACCCATGAACAAGCCATTGGCTTTAATTCAGATGCGGATCCAGTAGGGGCCCCCCCCCCCCCCCGTTTTACCACTAAATCAAAAAATTAAGACTGTCTCTTATACACATCTAGATGTGTATAAGAGACAGCCCCCACCCCGTTTGAATAAATTCTTGATCCGCCCCTGGAATCAATGTAGGCTTTGATATACTGTACATAGTGTGTACAAGCTGACTATCAGAGACCTACACCACACGATAAATGCAAAGTTAGTACAGAGTTCTCTCAAAGCTTCTAGCTCAATTAAGCACCTTAATTTAATAATTAAATATCACGCAAAATTTGATAAATATATCACCCAGTGTCGGATTCAGGAGAGGTGGAGCAGACAGCCCGTCCCCTCCCCCTAAATGTATCAAAATTATACAAAAATGAAGAAAATACGAACATTGTATTAAAATTTAATTCTGATAATGCAGTTTGTGGTCTAGACCCTCCATCTGTGAAAGTTCCTCCCTGATCCCCCTCTATTTCAAATTTCTGGATCCGCGTCACCCGCTAACTGGTACCAACTAAAATTACCGTTGTGTACTATCAAAAGTTATTATCTTTTCGCAATCATAAAATGATTACATTCATTTTAACAAATCACAGAACGAGTATAAAGTCACGTGTATAATGAATACTAGAATGATGTAATTTGATTAGTCGTAATGTAGTCACAGTCACTCGGAACACTCAAGGAAACGGACGCATTTTTAGGATAGGCCTACCTCCACATTTTTTTTCAGAAGGTAGACACTATCAACTGTCGTCATGGCTGTTAGTAATACGATGCGTCGTTTATTTAAACCATTCTCCTTTGCAACATTTCTGGAGGAGTCAAAGGAACAACTAAAAATAGCATGGATTTTGGTAAGCTTCTTAAATCATTCATTATTATTATTCTTTTTCGTTTTGGAATTTTTCACAGCCAATTCCACGATGTGCACAGAATCCAGGCAACAGCTCCAATCAACAAATATTAATAACAAAACACTAAAAGGTCTGTGGTCTATTGGTTATGACACCAGCCTATCTGAAGGTCGTGGGTTTCGATTCCCACCCGAATCATTTGCGATTACTTTCTCCAGTATCTGAGAACGTACTGAGTATTCAGTATGATAACACGTTGTATGGCCAAACATCACCTTTGTTAACAAGTTGAAACATAACTTGCTACTTCGGAGAAAGGAAAATCACACAGTTGCAGAAAAATAAAACCAGAACTATGCGATATAAAATACAAAGAAATGTGAAAAAAATAACTTGTTGGATTTAATGGATATTAATTGCATTGAGACAAAACGAAAGCAGTACCGTACCGCACAGATATTGCACACGTAGTATAAAGATAGTAGGAAGTGAAAGAAGGAAGACACAATGGTAACATTACTGTCAACAGTCGTAGAGGATGGTTTTGAGAGGGTAAGAATGGTGGAATATATGAAAATACGGTAGCCGCTGCAGGGAAGCATTGGTCCGGCCAGCATTTTTCCTAGACACTGTGACCAGCGATGTGAATTGAATTATGCCGGAAGGTTGATGAGAAATTATACTAAATTATTATGCCAAATATTGATAGAACAGATAGGCCTACAAATACAAATCAAATATAGGCTTAGGTCTAGGTAGAAGAGGGGAATGCTTACTTATGATATCATCCAATATAGGACAGCCTGCAACCCCTCTTTAAAACAAATTGATCAGAAGTTTAAAAAACAAAAATCTTCAGGGAATTACCGAAAGGTCCACTGATTAATCTCAGATAAGAAAGTATAATACATACTCCAAGTATTGAAATACACGCCATCGTGTTGGGATTCAATATTTCGACATCAATTATGTCATCATCAATCAATCAATACTATATGTATTATACTTTCAGGGAATTGTCACAACCTCTAAAACTTTAGTGACTGAACGAAATTTCATGGCTCTAGCATCTCCAGGTGGCAAGAAATGGCACTCTTAATTTTCATGATATTATTTTTAATTTTCAAAAATTTAGGTGGAGATAATATGATTGTTTGAAAAACATGAAGGCACCAAGGCCAGGGCAAGATTTCAGGGATGGAAGCATTTTCATGGCTTCAGAGGCTAATAATATTCGATTTCATAGAGAAAGTTTTAAAATTATGTACCGGTATACAAAACAAAACTACAAAACTATACAACACTATTTATATCGTAACAGTGAACTGACAAAAAGAACTCGGATTAATCGTGCCGCCGAATTCCGTTTCGCTTTTTGATCCAGTAACTTATTTTATTACGTCAATAGCCTTTGTACTTAATTTTAAAACGTTGTACACATTCCTTTAATAATAAATCTTTGCATTTGTATTGCATTTTGTTGATACACAATTTCTCTATAAAATCGAGTGTTAGGACCTCCAAAAGTTTGAAGAATACCCTTGCGACGAGGTATTGGAGTACTCAGCAGCCGAAGTGCTCACAAGGGCGCCAGTCCCATCTGGGTCGCCAACTCTTTAACAGAGTTTAACACGAACCTGCAGACCCGCTACTCCTATCCCCCTCCAAGGATACAAAATCGTGGGGATTCATACTTTTAAAAAATGTACCGTATACAGTATGCATGTCCTTCACTTAGGTGTTTAAATCTGTAATCAGATCCGGCTTTACCTGTATAGGCCTACCTTGTTGTAAAGACAGTTTGGTCGACTCCAACCACAATTTTTTATATTAAGTTTTATTTATTATTTTTATATCTTGTTCAAATGTAAGTACGAGAAAAAGTGGTCGGGCCATTATAGCCTATGTGGCCGGTGCGGTTCCCACGGCCCTGAAATACTCTTTAGCCACCAAAACGACAACACGAAGAGCACCACAGTTCTGTAAAAACATTTCGATGCACGAACTAAAAAAAAGGTGTAGGGTAATGGACTAGAAGATCTTTAACTTCATTCTTAACTGACCTCCAAAACAAGTCCATATTGTGGAACGTGTTCAGCCCCATTTGTTTTTGTATATGCATTAAAAAATTCAGAGCCAGAAAACTGAGAAAGAATACTGTCACAACTTTAATGAGCAACACCAAGAGTCTGTTGTGAATCAGTTCACATAATTTTCATGTACTGTAGTAGAAAGAAGCCAAAATGTCATATCGTGGCCTGTAGGGAGAGACATCTCAAGTTTTTGTGGCCGGATTTAACGTAACGAATAATAATTATGAACGTAACGAAAATGAGAATAATAATTAATAATAATAATAATAATAATAATAATAATAATAATAATAATAATAATAATAATAATAATAATAATAATAAATAATAATAATCATAATAATGACGATGATGAAGATCATAATGATGACGATGATGAAGATGATGATAATATTAATAATAATTGTGGTCAAAATCAGTAATAAGATGTATTGTCTTTTTAGAGCATATTTATGCTTTTGGAGTATTTGTTATCTACAACTAGTATCATATTTTGCGGACGACTTGGACAACCCGAGATGGCGGCGGCAGGGATGGCTCAATCGGTAAGCATCATTTTAAACAAAATATTTGTATTTTTTATTTCATGGCGAAGACATAAGCCTAGTTATTCACCCCTAATTCTATTTTCTATTTTTGAAGCGTTCCACTTTTCAAGGGCGGATCCAATTTTTCAAACGGGTGTGGGTGGGCACAACAATTTCAGAATAGATAAGTGAATGCATATGACATTGATAAGCATTGCCATTTAAAAAATTTAGTGGCCTCCGTGTCCCCTACTGGATCCGCGCCTGCTTGTCTTTCTGTTGGGGAGGTGGGGGTGGATAAACTTCATGCAGTTATGCATTTTTAAAACAGAAAATTTTAAATGGAATACTTAACAAGAAAGAATAAGAAAGATATAAACGCTTAGAAGAAGGAACACACTATATACTTACTAAGTATTTTTTTAAAAATAAATAAATAAATACAAAATTAAAATATAAAAAAATATAAAAAGAAAATATGATAGTTTGGCCATGTCTTCAGAAAGAATGTGTTATTGAATGAGAAGAATGAAAGGAAAAAGAACAATAGGACGAAATATAAAGATGTGTTTAACATGAGAGGAAGTAGATATTGAAAAGAAAACACAGCAAATAGATCCATATAGAGGAACTTACTTTCATAATGACGGACCTACTGTAATGCAGATTGCTAATGATAATATAGAAACGTACATTACTAAGGCGTTATTATAAACACCTTATTAAATTATTTCTGCAAAAACACATTCGTTTTTTGACTTAAACTTTAGGTCAGCAAAGTGAGTTAATGTCTTAAAACTTGTTGTCCTTCATGGACATTTGAATACACCTGGTAGAGGAGCCAGTGCCGCTTATCAATAATTTATGACTGCTAATAATATTTAGTGGATTATTTATAAACACAAATCGGCTCTATACCAGTATCAAATTCTTACCGGTACTTAAAAGCAAACTAAACATCTGCTTAGTATGGGATATGGCTTCATCTCAACACTTCACTTTGAACCTAACGTGTTCTCTTAACTCATAAAAAAAATAATCTTAATTTTAGTTTTTCCGTTTTTATTAATTCCAAATTTTCTTCGTTTTATGTGCTGGTTTTTCTGCAACATCACAGGCATTTAATATCCTGGCAAAAAAATAATTTCATTGAAAAAAATTATGCATTTCAATGTAAAATGTATTTCGGCTGAACATTTGGAACTGCTCACATTTAGGGAATCCACTTTAGGACTTATCCTGCCTATTAGAGATGCTTCTTTGACGTAATCATTATAATCATCATCATTATGGTGAGTCGAATGGCCGAGCGGTTAGCAGGGGCGCCGCAAGCTATAGCCATAATATCGCTGGTTCAAACGGCACGCTCGCCTATGGTTCTGGTGGTAGAACAAGTCTTCTCGGATAAGGACTATAAACCGTAGGCCCAGTGTATACAACTGTCTCTTATACACATCTAGATGTGTATAAGAGACAGGTATAAAGACAGTAGGAAGTGAAAGTTGGACACAATGGTAACATTACTGTCAACAGTCGGTACTGGAACAGACAGCCCCTGTGGTGGACGACGAGAGTTGCTGGTACCGGGTTACCGGGTAGCACAGACATGAAGGGACCCTTAGGGGCGAAGAAAGTCATTGATTGAGTTCCTTGTCCACACATCACCAGCGCATTGAGACTTCGGTATAATGCGCTATACCAAATCCCACTACATTACATTATCATCATCATCATAATCATCATCATTATCATTACAAGTGTTTTACGATGTCTCTTTATGTTTATTTTCATGATTTCAGATATACATTATAATCATGCTTTTTTATTCTTTTGTTTTGTTATTTTGTGTTAGGTCTTTTTTTCTTCATTCTTTATTTTAAAACGTTCACAAAAGAATGTAACAAGAAACCCAGGTCAGTGTATGAGAAAACTCAAGCACATGCAGGGTCACAAACAATAATACAACATTAACAATTTAAGCGTAAACATGAATAAGCCTAAATTAATCAATCACATTTATTTGTCTGAGATTAAAAAGATCGATTCATCAGGTGATTGATTGATTGATTTGTTGATTGATTGATGATTAATTAATTGATTGATAAATACATTTTTGTGTGATGCTCTATCTTTGTTGAATATTGAAATATTATTTTTATTTCAGATAATATCGATTTTCTGCTTTATGCCTGGTTATGGTATGGTCACAGTGTGTAATACGTACTTTTCGTCGGTACGTCGAAATTTCGAATAGTTAATTGTTAACTTTTTTTTGTAAAGAATCTCTACAATCACCGACATTTATAATATAAATTTGAGGTCTCATTTTGAATCAGCTTTGTAGGGCTACCCTCATAAAATATAGATTGTGAATACCTCGATACAGTAGATTCGATAGGTAAAGTGTATTGTGAAGGCAAGTAGTACACGTTTGTGGTTCGTGGCATAAATTATTTTCACGAATAAATATAAATATAATCACAACAGACAGAAATTAAAAATATTACATCGCAAAATCTATTAAAATACGTGAAACGAACATTCTGGAACCAACAAACATAAAATTAACCAGGAAATCTCTTGATCCCAGCAGTTAAACCTTTCTTAAGTGTTCTATCACTGACTCAGTTTAATTTAGATGTCCTATATATGTTTGAAGTTGCAACTGATTTAATATTTGTTCAATTTGAAGCCAGTTTAATTTGATAAAAAAAATCATTGGCTCAAGTAGAGTACGGTGTGTAGGCCTACATAAGGTCTAACACATTCACATACGGCAAATTATTGTTGAACAGCTTTGTCTACAGCCAATCGTTTGGTTTATAGAAATAGATCTATCGTCCGTGTATGTCAATATTATGAATTGTGAAATTGGTCTTTCGGTAGGGAGCTGGATCTAAAGACGAATACAAGCAAGGAGTCATCCTCCAGAAAGCGTTAATTCTCTCCGGTCTTGTGACGTTGTTTTGCTGGCCTATTCTTATCAACACTGACGGTATGCTACGTTTGTTTCAACAGGATCCAGAGATTACAATGTAAGCAATGATTTGGAACAGTTTTGGATTGTCTCGCAAAAAAAACTTATACAATCGATAGTTTTGTGAGCCCATCATTTAAATTGGATCTATTTCACGCATTAAATAGATAATTTAACGTCGTCTCCACAAAAACTAATAATATAATACCTTTAAATGCGGCACTGGAAAATAACTTTTGAAATTCCTGCCTATGCAATAGGCCACCCTCAATGCATTTCTGGAATACAGGGACACTTGAAAACACAAATTAAATACAACACAAAATTATATTATATGTATAACATTTATACTATGAATGGCAGTAAATACATTAATTTTTATATTAACGATTATATTGTTGAGTTCTTTAAGGCCTTGCTAAAAAAAACCCTTTTTTTCTAATTTATATATCACTTTTTAACTTTGTCATGCTTTTTATTCAATCTTGTGTTTGTACTGTCTCTTGGATCCACTATCTTGGCAGCAGTCTCTGAGCACCTAGGTAGCGGTTTAGGGTTGCGCCAGAGCAGAGACGGATGTTTGACCTTATGAGACCGTGCACTGTTTGCCACCACACCTTATAATATGTATTATTATTTTTGTTTTTAAATCTTCTTTAGTTGTTGTTAAGCAATTTATTATTATTATTATTATTATTATTAGGGCCTATTATTATTATTAGGGCCTATTATTATTATTATTAATTATTATACTAGAGTTATAGTACTTTTAATCAATATGATTTTTATAGTATGGTCGGAAATTTTGTGCGCGTCTACTTACCAGCGGTGCCTGTAAGTATATGTATATAAATTATAATAATTATTCAATAGACACCAAATATTTAAAAATATGTATTTTAAAATTTTGTCTTTAATAATTAGAGTTTATATATTGTATTATATAAAAAAAATAAAATGTGTATTTTTTAAATATTATTTTCAACCTATTTCATTATAGGCCATTATTTATTATCTGCTTTTCTTTTTTTGTGTACCTTACTAAGTATTATGTTCCTTTGATTGTTTTTTGCTTAGGTTTGTTCCCTTCCTTTTGCCTTGGAGATTCCTCAATAGTATTCAACACTTTTAGTTGTTCTTGGAGGGGTTTTTTGTTGTATTTTTTCTATCTTGAAATATTGTAATAAATAAAATAAAATAGAGTCATGCTATAAATGTAATAGTTGCAAATTACTTCAATAACATCGGTTTAAATTTTACCATAAATCTATTTATTTTAGGCGCTGTTTGCATCTTTTGTGTTGAGTCGTTTCTTGCAATGCCGTAACCATGTGATGATTACTATGTTAGCCATGCTGTTTTCAGCCATCGTCAATATCGTACTCAACTATGTTTTTCTTTTTGTTTTACTGCCGGAAGGTGGTGATGGTGTAAGGTATATCTATCATTTCAAGTCCTTTTAATTATTTGAAACAGTAATTTTAAAATTTCAAAAATAGATGGACTGATCAATGTAACATTTTCATTTGTTTCCAGCTGGTCGTCTGGTGCTATGGTGATCTCTCAATACACTTACCTCGTTATTGTATGTGCATACTTATACAAATATGAAACTTTCATAGGTAGGTAAATACAAATTGTCATTTTCTATAGTATACAGTGAACCCTTCGATTCGAGACCCCTTTAATTCCGAGACACCTCTATTTCGAAATCGCTTTTTCCAAGAATTATTAATCTTTAATCTATTAGCACCAAGCTGCTGCTTATACTACTAGACCTACTACTGCTACTATAATATTTGTAATTATTTTATATTGTTATAAAATATTACGACACTTCTAAATATCGTAGGATGGAGTTCAGAGTCATTGGAAGACTGGTACGAATTTTCAGCAATTGGGACACATGGGTGCTTGATGGTCGAACTGGAAATATTATTATTTGAGGCTGGATACTTTTTTTGTGGTATGAATATTTTGTTTATTATTCCTGATATTAGGACATAGAAGTAATAATTTAATACGGTATACACAAATAATGAATGCTTATGAGTGTAATAGGAAGAATACCGTACTATCATGAGTTAAAAGATGGAACGTTCTATTGAATGAGGAGTCGAGTTTAATGAAACAATTCATACATTTATTATTTGTCTGCTTAATTAATATAAAATATTTTTGTAATATAATATGTTATAAAAATAAATTTAGATCAACCTTTCTTCCGAATGAAACAGTCCATCTTCTTTGAGGAAATTATTTTTACAACAAATATGTCGGGGGTAATACTGGAAAACTTATATGGAACAACAATTTATTGGAATAACAAGAATAACAACAAAAAAATTATTTGTTTGCCATTAAATGAGGTAAATTCATATACCACGGGATATTATACCCACCAACATTCTATTTAGGTATGTTTAAAACAGACTTTTACTTTTAAAATTCTTAACTTCATTTACCGTAATTACATTGTTTGTTATTCCAACACTGCTCAGAATGATAGTTGATATGTTTTCATAATTTTTTTTTAAATTTTTGTATGTTTTTTTGCTTTAATTCGTAAGGTACGTTTGATGCAGCGGCCGTAGACGTTTTTGGAGCCGTCTATATCATGGTATTCTATACATTTATGGTAAATAAAAGTTTGTTTCTATTGAAAATATTTGTCTGATATCATTTACGGCTATGTGATGAAACCCATGGTACCGGTAGTGGTCGAAATATTAGTTCCAAATACACGTCATTCGGGTTTATTTTTAATCGCTTCTCCGTTATAGAACAACATACCATAAAATTATACAATGATACATCTTTACTCATGCGTTTAAAAAAAAATTTAATACCATTTTTAAAGAGGGTGACCTATCCAGTTTCAGCATGAACTGATCATTAAGGGCCTTCGAATAAAACATACATAAAATAAAACATGCGAAATATTGAATATTCAAAATACAGAAAAAAGTTAAAAGGCCTAAAATAAAAACAAAACATTAAAAATTGTTAAATCAGTAAAAATATTAATAAATTGCTTAAGTTTAAAAGAGTATAAATTTTCAGATAAGCGAATATCTACCTAAATGATCTGATAAGCATCAGTTTCGGTGACAAATAATAGTCATGATGACGTCACCAAACCTGATTAGAGGATTTTGATAGGATAATTGATGACTGGTGCTTGCACCATATACACGTATATAATACAATTTAAAAACTAACCACAGAGTGTTTGAGATATGGACTCTGCAACTAAATGTCCCTTGTGGACAAGCAATACATTCGATATCTGGGCCAAGCCACTTATTAATATTTTTTAAAGCCTAATTGAGAACCCCAGTAAGTAGAAACTTCGTGTTTCTGACAAGGTGGTTTACCAGTTAAAGTCGGTTGCTAAAGCGGGTCTCCTCTCCAGTCAAATATGCCTGGAAGCACTGCTCTACCCCATGGCATTTGCAACCATCTGAACTGGTAATAATGTTATTCATTAACCTTTGGAATTTTGCGGGTTGCATTATTCATTCTAAAATCATAATGTCGATATAAGTCATTTGAAGTAGGTAACAAAGGCAGGTGCCTCAATAACTCTGTAAGAGGAACTTGCCAATATTTATGTTTACTGTTTACAATTATCATCAATATGTAACATGTGGTTATGTGTATGTTTGTGTATAAGTCTGTATAAAAACCATAGAATAAAAACCATGCTTCTTCATTAAATGTCGTTTCTAACAATATTCAGATATGCTCTGGAATAGCATCAGCATTAGCCATTCGTATTGGTCAAAGTTTGGGAGCAAATGAAACCGGTAAAGCTAAAGTATCCATGGAGATATCATTCTTATTATGTTGTAAGTTGTATATATTCTATTATGCTGTATATATATATATATTTATACACATCT